TCTCTCTCTCTCTCTCTCTCTCTCTCTCTCTCTCTCTCTCTCTCTCTCTTGCCGTGGGACTTACAATTAGTTCAGTGGCAAAAGTTACAAAATTCCACAAGAGTATATCAAAATTATTTTCATTATATTTCAAGTATGCGTCTTGTTCTCTTCATTCCCTCTTTGTTTCTGCCTGCTTTGTTGTGCCTCTGGTTCATTCCACCATTGTACCTCGCCCTTGCCGAATATCACAAACACCAAGTTACCCAGAAAGAAAATTGCCGCTGAGATGTAAAACACGATGTTCCACTGATACACGCTACTCTGAAAGGCGAGAGATCTCTCGATAGAAACTTTCTCATTGTTCTTACGTGTGCGCGCGCGCGTGTGTGTGTGTGTGTGTGTGTGTGTGTGTGTGTGTGTGTAAAGCAATTAGATATAAGTCCAAGGATAAAAAAGTAGAAATCGTAAATAATAAGTAGATATAGTTAAATTATACGAGATAGAATTAAATAAGGATTCTCAGAAATAAGTAAACTAGATTACTACATGCAGATATTTCATACTCGGAAGGAAAAGAACGGATGATTACCTCGTCGGTGATGATAACGCCACATGTCAGCAGCGCTATAATAGAGATAACATTGGCAATGCAATTGGTGATGGACATCATGGTCCCAGCAAAGTTTGGGCTGAGATCTATATGATTTATGAGCACACCGCAAAAAACTCCAGCGTTCAGACCTACCGCCAGGACAAGAATGGCGATAGCCCAGATATAACCATCGGCAGGTACGACGCTCATACATGCCAGGGCGATAGCCGGACACCATTGAGCCACTGTGTTGGAGATCTTTCTGATCGTACCCCTAGACGCACCTTTTGTCAATGCGAAGTCAGATAAAAAACTTATAACCAAGCAGAGAACCCACTGCGTTAGGTATGGCAGGGCGGAAATTACACCACTCTGCACAAAAGAAAATGTATATTTTAATTTCTTTATGTAAAGTATTATGTCTAATCAATTAAAGGGGAAATAATTCCAAATAAGGTGTAAATAATTTCAAATATATTATAAATATTAAAATGGTGCAATCGATAAATAAATTTCGCCAAAATTGTGAAACCCCATAATGTAGGAAAAAATATTATTTGTCCTTTTTATTTGTTTGCTAAATTTTATTGCTTACCGCTCCGATTTTGAAATTCAACACGCTTGTCATGTAACTCGGTATTTCTGTCAATAAAGTCGTGGACCCCCAATTTTGCGCGGAGTGAGTTATTATGATAGCCCACATAGGTATCGAAGTGAAAATCTGCTTCCATGGTATTTTCAGTTTCTAAAAAGTATAAAATTATTCTGAATGTTACAAATTATCCTAAACACCTTATAATACTTTTTATTACATTTTTTTTAGTCATTATATAAATTTATAAAATATTTTTTGTGTTACAAGTAACTGTTATAACCTTATAACGTCAAAATAATCTAAGAAAGATGTTCAAGCTCGATATTAAAGAAAATCTTTCTTTATCTTATGATACAGAAAATTATATTAAGGCAATAGATAAGTATTAAGGTAATTCCGGTATTTGCGCCGCAGAAGTCAGAAAAAATAGAAGGAATAGAGATACTTTCTCGCAATCACACTGCATGTTATGCGCCTTTATGCCATATTAGTATTGTGTTGTAATTTCAGTTCTTTACTGTTAATATTAACGAAACCGTCGTGAGTTGAATCGATTTCTCATCGTAGTAAATAGCGCGATCATATATTACGACCTACGTAAAATGATTACTGTAGGGAATGTAAAAGGTTTAATGATTATTTCATGATACATAATAAGTGTACAGGGATAGTAAATAATGGAATACAGCAAAATACAAGTGCATAGCTCTTGTATTTTTTGTTTAGCTTGATGTCTTGTATATACTTCTTGTTTATGATATGCGGCATTTTTAGCGTGCGGGATTTATGCCATAATACAGACACTTTGTAAAACTCGAAATCTTCTGTGTTCTTTTTCCTTCTTTTTTGGATCGTATAACAATAATCTTTAATGCATCTATCGCTCTTCTATTTTCTTTTTAAAATTTTTCAGTTTTATAATTTGTTTATCATTCTTACATCTTAATAAACTTTTTACAAGCACTAGACACTACAGACGCGCGCTACGCGCGCGCTATTTATCTTTAACATTTCACTATTAACCCTATTATACACAACTGTCAAAATATACAATGACAGCTACAAATGAAGTAAGCGCAGCAAGAAAACCAATCGGCATCGCGGAAAAGAGGCAACAATAAACTATCCATGCCTTTTTTAGAAAGGGATTTTGTAACTTACTATGACATTTTATTGCCTTATTTATAAACATTATTTGTAATTTTTTATAAGGCGTATATTTCATGGGGATATATGGTAAAAAATGCAAGGGTTTCTAAAAGTTTTTTTTATTAAATACAAAGAATGAATATTTCATATTTCTATTTTTTTTATAGTAGTAGACAGTATAAAGTTTTTATTAGTATAATTCATTTGCCTTAAACATAGTAAATAGTAGGTACTCGATAAATTAAGTTTCCCTTATCTGCAGCGTATATACCAGAATTACAATACTCGATAAATTAATTAAGTTTTCCTTAGCTGTGGAGTAGGTATATACCGGAGTTACCCTATACGTAACCCTAAACCATTAATTAGTTGTGTTATTGAGATTTATAGTAACGGATTTTTACCTGTTTGACTTCATCATCGCTTTTCGCTTCAATTGTCCTCAAACTTTCTTCTATATACATTCTCTCTTCTAAAGAAATGCTGTGATGACTGGACGGTGCGTCTGCTCCAAAATAAAGGAATGCTATACTCCAGATAATCATTAATACACCAAATAAGTAAAAGATACTAGGCCAACCACTGCTGGATGCAGCGAGAAGTCCAGCAATTGGCATTGCGATCACCGTGCCGAATTGGCTACCCGCATTAGCGAGTGTTCCTGAAATACAAAATACAAAATAGACTTATTTAATTTCCATATTATAATCAAAATTAAAGATATATTACCACAATTAGATATGATTTGCCGTGTAAGCGAAGCAATTAGTCGTTTTATAAAATAAAATTATAAAATGTAAAATTATAAAATAAAATTATAAAATGTATTGTGTGTGTGTGTGTGTGTTGGTGTGTATTTGCATCAAGTTCTACTCGTTTGTCAATAATCTTTTGAAATTTCTAACAATACGAAGAAAAAGCAGGAAAGGAGAAAAAGGTACAAAATTCTATCCGAATTCTAATAAACTAAATTTAATTTTAATAAACAAAGCAGAAAGTAAAAAAATAAAAATGGCAAAAAAATAAAAATTACTTTATAACCAATTAAGAAAAAATGTATATATATATATAATTATATATAAATTATATCCATGTATGTTTTCTTTCTCGTATATATATATTACATATATAAGATAAACTCTGTTCGTATATGCATATGTATGTACATAAAAAAAAATTATAAGAAGAATTAAAAAATGTTAACGATTGTGGGTTTAACACGGTGAAGGCTCATTTACAATAGCCATAAGAATACGCAATAAGACGTAAATAGTAAGCTATTGACTAATAGGATTTTTACAGTTCAAAAATAATTGACTGTAATTGTTCAATTTTTATATTGCTTACGTCTTACGGTTATTTATGGAATGGGATTGAAAAAGAAAGTCAATTTTACTAAACTTTTGTTTGTTAGAAACGATTTACAATAAAACGCGGACAGAGTTACTACGCCTATAATGACGGACACACACACGCACATGCACACGCACACGCACACGCAACACTCTAGAGACAAAAAACCAATTATAAATCAGACGTTTCGATCTTGCTTTGAGCCATTTTTAGCGATGCGGCAAATCAAAAAGATCTTACGTTCTCCAACGAGAAATAAAGTAACTTCAAAACTTTATGTATATATATCTAAAAAGGGCGTTATTTTTTGCAAGAAAATCCAAGTAAATGTTGGCTAATGATTATTGTTCAATGATTATTGTTCAGTTATGACTGTCATTTTGATTCAATCACATAATAAATTATAATCATTAACCAAGTTTTACATATGGTATAACTACGTGCATCATAATAGTTATTCAAACTCAATATATAATGTTAACTTTAAGGACCATTAACCGTGTTGAACTTTACGATGCCTCTCAATTACACGTTACTTGTTAATTTCATTATATCGATGTTTCGACGACATAATCCATTTTTTGTTTTATATAAATATATTATTAATATTCCATTTTATAAATAAATTAACATGTAATAAACATACGTTAAAAAGATATAAACATATAAATAAAGAGGTACAAACATATAAATATACAAAATTGTTTTTTTTACATTTATTTTATTAGATAAGATATGTACATTATTCCGGTCTGCCAACACAGAGATAGCATGCGAAAAACGATCTAATATGAATCTAACTAAAATCATATTAAATCATATTAAATTTGAGTAAAATTCAAATTAAACCAGATTTTATATTAAAATTATATTTGTTTAAATACAGTTTTAATTTGTACTTATTAAAATCAGTTATGTAGATTAAATATGATCCACAATAAAATAGGGCTTTAATTTAAATTTAATTAGATTACTTATGTGGATCATATAACACTTGGAATCAAATATAGTTTTAATTTGTATTTAATAAGATAACTTATGTGGATTATACATGATCCAGAACCATACATGATGCAGAATATTTATATATAAGACTTTAATAAAAAGTTAATGTGTTCTGTATGCGACTTTTACTCGATTCAATTGCGGCTTTAACCCAAATTTGGTTTTAATTTGATTCTTATTAAAACGTATTTTTGTTTAAATAATATTTGCGGTAAAATTTGTTTCCTTATTTGTCGAACTTAACATGTAAATATTTGATTCAAATTAAAAAGTTAGACTAATGTTGAATATTAATTTGATTTTGGAAAAATTACGAAAAGTTAATATTGGAAAATTAAGTATTGGGATTTTCAGTCGTGACGTTACAAGGCCAAGAAGGCTGGCCTATTCCTGAAAGTATTAGAGCTGTCATATGTAAACACATATAAAGCTTGTATTTTTCATAAATAATTAATGAAATAACGGTGTTGGTGATAAAAAAAGTGCGATGGGTGAAAATGTTATTTGTTATTATTAATCTTCAATTGATAACTGGAGTGTTTGAAATACTTTTGCGTTTAAAAAATCGGTGAATTGTTTTTACATACTACATTTAATGTACAATTTATTATAACTAATATTACTCATTAATATTCAGTGAATATATTTTACTTGTTATTGTTCAGTTATTATCATATTGACTTGCCAGGCAGAACGTAGTCACTCCTGTCAAAGTACAAAGAACACACTGCCCACTTTTTGATTATCCACTCTGGTTTTGCTATTTTCAAAACTCTCTCCCATTCTTTTCGAACATCAATTTTTTCTATATTTCCAAACATGTCTTTTTTCTCAGTATAAAACTTTCCTTTAGATGGAAACATGTGGAATCGCACAGAGGTATCTTTTAATCCAGAGCTTTTGCAACCAAATATCTACACAGCAAAAATCGCGATTTTTTGTGTCTCTAGGGGAAAACCTTGCCCCTCTGTCTTCTAGGTGTTCACCCATCGCACTTTTTTTTATCACAAACACCGTTATTTTATTAATTATTTATGAAAAACACAAGCGTTATATGTGTTTACATATGACAGCTCTAATACTTTCAGGAATAGGCCAGCCATCTTGGCCTGGTAACGTCACGACTGAAAATCCCAATAGATGAAATTTCATATTTTATAGACTTTTATTACAATACAGTTAGTATATGTTGTCATTAATTTTTTGTTAAAGATTTTTACAAAAAGATAATTATACGGTATACAAAATAATTTGAGTCTATAACAAGCTGTGGATTCTATCACAATCTACGTCTATGTTAACAAAATATAAATTTGAAATAATTGGAGCATATTGAGCAATTTAAAGTTGGACAGAATATCAGGGAATGAACCAGCAGTGTATTTCAGTCCGCTATAGATTGTATATCTTTCTTAAATAAAAGTTTTATTTTTAAATTTTACTGGATTTTTTTATTGGATTATTATATATGAAATGATATAGTCATATAAGATTATATATGATCAGATCAGAATATTGCATCTCAAAGTATCCGATAGATGGCATTTGATGTGATCTGTTTCTCGTAATTAAAATTTGACAAAGAGTGTTATAAGAACGGTATCAAAAAGACACGACACTGTCTCACGCTATTCTCGCGCGACGCTGTCTCGGAGCGACACAATTTTTGTATCAGTTATATCGTGAAGTCCACTCTTATAATAAAGTAGCACGCTTAAAAAATATTATAACCCCCTATAATTACAACCATTAAGACCAAATAAGATTGAGTTACAGTCATATATAAATATTACTTGGATCTTATTAGAATTTTATATAATCTGTTTTAAATTTAAATTTAAATTGGTTTAAATTTGACTATATTTGATTTATATTTAACTTATATGATCAAATTAATTTTAAATTTACTACCATATTTAATCCACATTTGGCATATTAAAACCATATTAACTTTAAATTTCCTTAGGTCTGTGCGGCTAATTTTGCATATTTTAACAAAGCAAGGTCCAGTTTAATCCATATATAGATTAAATAAGATTGGGGTACTTTAATTTGATTTAAATATGACTTATATTTAAATTATAATTAATTTGCATTTATAATTAATTTGCAATTATAATTAATTTTTGATTCTAATAAGACTCTTATTGAATTCATATAAGCTTTTAATACGGTTTTAATACAATCGTTTTTCGCGAGATTCCATGACTAGTTCGGAGGTTACCTTAAAATTGATGATCCCTTAGTGTTACCTGGATGTCCGATAATATGAGAATCCGCTTATTTTCATAAGTCCTCCTTAAGTTTCCCTTAAGTTCTCCCATACGTAGTGTAGAATGACATAGACTTCAGTCCGGAAAACGGTGGCATGTTTGCCCAGAGGAACGCTTATTTGCGCCGCTGGTCTTAGACCAAATATTCCAGATCCGCTGCCTGATCGAGTCAGCTCAGGAACCGTCAGTAAACCATATCAGAGCATCTTCAAGCAGCCTTCAGTCCATGTTTTCCCAGAGTTCTGAGTTTATTTTAACTGTGTAATTCTTTCAATTAAAAAATAAGGGTGACATTGTTTTGCCTCATCACAAGGATTGGGTCTTTTACAATGTCCCTTATTAATTTTTAGTAAATCCGCCACCTGGAGACACACACGATAGCTCAACCCACAGAAATAAATGTTTTAAAAAACAATTTTGTATATTTATATGTTTATACCTCTTTATTTATATGTTTATATCTCTTTAACGTATGTTTATATGTACAATATGTTTATATGTTAATTTATTTATAAAATGGAATATTAATAATATATTCATATAAAATAAAAAATGGGTGAAATTCCAGGGGTAAATTTTACTCCTTTAGAGTGAATTTGGGCAACAAACAAAATAGTTTTTTACATGTCAAGATGTCCTCTACGTATTGGCAAAGTTTCAGAATTTTTTGAATTTCCGAGTTGGGGACCTTTCCTTGTTACTCTCTAAATCTGAATAAGTGAAAAGTCACTGGATCCAGTGACTTTTCACTGATTCAGATTTAGAGAGTAGGAACTTTTTTTATGTCAAGTATTTAAATTATATTTTTTTACAAAATAACCTGAGAACCGATTGTTTCCTGATATCCGATTGAAATTTACCGCGCGCAGATACTGAATCTATTCTCACCTAGTCGTGCTCTTTCAGCGGGCGGCGCCCACTTTGAGAGGAAGGTTTGTATGCAAGGATATAAGCAAGCCTGTGTGAGACCCATGCCTATCCTGCAAGCCAGGACGGCCTCCAGACCCCCGTAATGGGCGAAGGTCGGTGTTAAAACTTGGAGAATCCCGCAAAGCAGCAGCCCGATGCCAAGAAGCTTTTGGGCGCTCCAAACATCGGCAATGTAGCCGCTTGGCACCATTGTTACCACGTATCCCCAGGTGAACGAGCTGAGCACCAAATCCTTTTGCTGCTTAGTCCAACCGTAATCCTGAAAACGTAATCAATACGATTTTTGAAAGATTTTAAACCTCAGTAAGCCTACGCAGCAAGTAACATGCAACTTACATACAAGTTACAATATCCTACAATATAACATGTGTTGCATTGCATTTACATTGTTAAGTAAGAAATTGTAACTTTTGTATATAAGTTACATAATAAAATTTATACAGAACACTATTACCTATTCGAAAATTATCGTAGACATTTAAGCATTTAAAATAATGCTTTTATGGCAATTTTTATATCCAATTATATACATATACATGAAATAAAATTGATAAAACGTCAATGTACGCGTAAAAAAAGGAAATATATCTAAACTGATCTTAAAAATAAAATATTTTACGACTGTACTATTTTCGCACTCATGGCAGGAATAATTATTTCACAATGCATATTATTTTAACTAATTTAATTTAATTTTGTGTGTGTGTTCTTAATCTTTCAGCATAAACAAGAATTTTTAAGTATTAAAACAATTCCGTAAAGTTTATCATGACAAGATCATCGACGAGACAATGACGGCGATTACAATCTGACAAGTCATTATCTTGTCAATCTTTATTAGAGCTCTTGTAAAGACAACGGTATAGTCGTTATCCGCTCAGAATCAGTCGAGATCAGTGTATATGCGGCAAGAATTCGCGCAGAAGTAAATATATTTAGCTTATGTATTTAACGCAAGATCAATGTAAAGAAGATAGTCTCTTCAGCTGTCGTAAGATTTATCAGCGGTCATCGCGATTAATCTCACGCGTAAAGAGGAAAAGGCATTTCTCATCGCGTCCAAGGCATTTCGACTCGACTCGATGCACGTTATTCCCCCTATTCTGCAGACAATCGAGAAAAATTTCCTTCCTCCGGTACAGATTCCAGATAGGTAATCGGCGCAATTACGAATTTACAGAACATTCTGCGACCGGTAAAAACCCCCCTGTATACTGACGTAAGCAGTTACACTCGATTGAGCAAATTTAATAAATTAACAGTTTTGATTATCTCTGCATACAACTCGATATAAAAGTCTATATCGACGACAAATCAACTATGAAATTCGATATCTTGAACGTAAAATTTAATTTCAGAACAAATAAATATTTAAAAAATACGTGAAAAATACTTCAATCATTGCAGATGCGTCATTTACAGCATGACATGTTTCTGAAGAAACTTAGAGATTTCTGATCGGTCAAATTTAACATTTTCGTCACCCAGAGATGTAAACTCGCGCACAAGGTATGTACCGTTAATCTAAATTATAATAGTTGCGAGAAACTACGAATCTAAAGAAACGAATGTTTTATAGACACATATCAGTTTCCGCGCAAGCAACAATAATAATTAATAACCCAGATAGCAAAACGTGTCTGAGCAAAATCGCGCAAACCGTGATTGCTTATGATGCTGGGAACTTACCGTACATTTGTTTCAATTGATTTCGAGTAATTTAACATTTGAAGCAACGCAGGCAACATTGGCTATATGTATTGCCAACAATTTGTCGGCAAGAAAGTAGCATCAAATTTACTTCACATTGCTAGCAATATGACAGCATTGTGTGATCCTATGAACTATTACAGCAACATGACAGCAATAGCTCAAATTTTGAATCAGACGATTTTAGACCGCAGCATGAGTTACCAACAAGTTGCTGGCAAGTTGCTATACAAAATTGTTATATCGTGAAAGCATCAACTTGCCGACAAATGCGGACTCAGTCGCTACAAGTCTGATAGCAACACATACTATGTCGGCAACATGCCAGCAACAATGCAGACACGTTGCTATTATCTGCGAAGTTGACGTCATATATATCGAAGCTCGGTATGCTCGGTATATGCTCATCTGACAATCGCTAGAACGTAATCTCAAGTGCTTCAAATTGTCCAGGCGCAGCGTCGGTGTTTGAGTCACCAGTTTCAAGCCGATGCAGAAAAGATATAAGTATGTGATTTACCTCGATGTCAGGATTCGCGGTGCTCGCGTTCGCCATCGGCACCACTGCCACTGACATCCCAACTCTGACACTATATCCGATGGTAGTACCCAGGAAAAGCAGCGTCACCTGCAGGTGCCTAATTCCAAGGGTACCTACGAGAAGATCACCCCTTTATTGTAATAACGAACAAAAATCATTATAACAATTAAATTAATAAATATTTACATTTAGAATTTTTGAGAATTTTTTTGTTCAATTGTCTAAATTTGATAAATATTATTATATAATCAGTAGTGGCCGAGTGCCTAGCTCTCACTATTTGAGAAGTTTTTTAATTGTATTAAAAGAAAGGATAAGTTATACTTATTGTTAGTGCTTGTCCGAAATAATCATTTATAAATTTTTGTGGTCTTTCGGACAAAATTCAAAAATTTTCGACAAACAAAGGAACACTATTCAAACATTAATCAATCTAGACGAAAGCACATTAATTTCGCTCAATATTAAAACTTAAAGGGATTTTGGATTAGATATGACATTTCTTTTCGCAAAGGAAATTCATCATGGATACCCTCGGCCTCCGAGTAGGAGCCAAGGGTTATGCCGGACTCTTACCGCGGGTGGCCTACTTCAGGCGTGTGGGAGATGTCCCGGGATTCAACAGTTTCATTACTACCGGGACATACCCGAATTATGACTGTCACACAACGTTAAAATTAATCTTGGATAAGAGATTAATCTGAAGTACTGGCGACAATTAAGTAAACAAATTAAGTAAACAACAGGGATGTTCGGATATATATAAATAAAAGCAAATGTAAAATTTTCTAATCAACAATTTTGTATAAAAATTCTTGTTTTACAAACCTTTATTTATTTAATTTTTAGATTTCGAGTGCTATTGCTTGGAAAAAGTTCCTGCATAATAATTTTTCGTCGCAAAATTACTACTAATCTTAACGTAAATTTACAGAACACATATAATTACGTAGATATGTACCAATGATATCTACATAGTTATAGTTATAACTGCTAGATAGCATAAAGAAAGGAAAACGTGGATAATGATGCGAAAGAAAAGGTACAATGTTTCATCAGATTTTTCGTATATTGCGAAACAATTCTTCTTCCGTAGAAAGAACAATTTTGATATTAAAAATGTATACCACGCACACAAAAACATTATTTGCTCGTGCTAAAGAAATTGTCTTGAAATTTATCACTACAAACGAGGAGATATGGTTCAATCTAAGAAGACCAGATTACACTCTATATAGTTATATATTAACATATATGACCAAATTTGCGTAGACATGAGAACATATGAGACAGAAGTCATATCTGAGCATATCTGACCAGATATAATTTGATCTGGTCAGATCTAATCCTTTTTTCCCGGGTAATTCCAACAAAATTAGATGATAACGGGTCGATGTAGTGAATGGAATCCGATAAGATGCAGAAATCACATTAAGATAAGCCGCGCACTCTCAGAAAGGATTTTTAATAACGAGACAAAAAATATTCTTGACATGTTTAATCTTATCACAACCTGAAGCAGTATAAAAATAAAACAATATTAAGATTAAATTAATAATTCCTATTCTCCTCTGTCGAATAAAATAAGATTGACTTAATATCTTGAGACAAGAGTAATATATATAAATTTAAGCTTATATATTCTTGCGTTTAGACTAAATCTTCACGCGATGTTAACCGTGTCAGCGCCACAGTATTTAGCACGAAACCGATGTGTGCTACCGTCTTTCGTCAACGCCAATAACGTGATACGCTATTGACCGAGAACGAAGCGTAAGTGTTTACATCAACATCGTAGTCGTGGATATAAAGTAAGGCAGAGTAAAACGTAAGTCATGAAAGGCTATTGTACAACAACATTTTTCGTCTTACGTTTATCTTTGCCTTAATTAATATCTATACTACGACAGACGTCTCGTTCTCTCAGCCATATGCGTTCTCTCGTGTTCGTGCCTGTGGCGGATCTAGTTATTACCTGTGGTAGATCTGATTTATTATGAATAAAAGGTTACCAATTAATATCTGTGTTTCGCAAAAACCTTTACTTTATTCTATCGCAAAAAGGATCTTGGAAGAATAACATAAGATTTTCTGACATTCTACACTGAGAAAAAAATGTTCTGAATTTTAGTATATATTTTAGTTTGCATACAATTGTGACTCTATTTATTAAAATAAAGAAAATTTCTCTTTTTATTAGTATATGTGTATTTACTGAGAAACAATATACTAATAAAAGGCAATTTTTTTTATTTTAATAAATAAAGTCACAGTTGTATGCAAAATCATATTTACTAATATCTAAAAAAATTTTTTCTCAGCGTACAAATTTTTTTTCCGCAAGAGTATACAATAAGATTTCCTTCAGATCCGTCTATAGTTGAATCAAGAATATTATGAGATTGTTACAAATTGTTATCTAAATCTTTCTGAGAAAATTAGAGGGATAGCATCAAGATTATTTTATTCTAGATTTAAGAATTCCTCTATTTAAGATTAAAATATTCTTCTTTCAATACTAAATATGATTGGCCCTATTTCGATCCTATTTTATGATAGATTGAAGAGTAATAGCATTGTATCTAGAAGTCTTTTCTGTGGATGTGGTGATTCGTAATGAGATTTATGAACATATAAAGGTAACATAAAATATATGCCTACAAATATATTTTTTCATAACGTGATTACTCGTTTTTTTGGCGTTTTTATTTACGTTTTTACGTTTTTTATTGCGGTGAAAACAAAGCAAACTTACAATTTGCGCACCCGATAATTCCAGGTAAAATAACTAAACGATAAACAAGAAGTTATCGAATTCAAGCTAAGAAAACCATACTCAATGATTTTCTTTTATTATTAATAATAAAATTTATTATTAATAATGTGGTATTTTATTTTATTATTAATACATTAATATTTTAATTAACCGTCGCCGCACCCACAGAAAAGGTTTCTGGATACAATATGTTATTACTCTTTAATCTATCATAACATAGGATCGAAATAGCACTAATCATATTTAGTATTTAAAAAAGAATAACCAGAATAAAATAGTCTTAATATTATTTTCTCTAACTTTCTCAAAAAGATTTAGATAAAAATTTGTGACAATTTCATAATATTCTTGATTCAACAATAGACGGATCTGAAGGAAATCTTATTCTACTCTTGCAAAAAAAGAATTTGTAGATTGTCAGGAATCTTATATTATTCTTTAAAGTTCCTTTTTGTGATTGAATAAAAAATAAAGGTTTTTATGAGCAAAAACACAGATATTATTTGGTAACTTTTTTATTTATAATAGATCAGATCCACCACAAGTAATAAATAATTAGATCTACCACAGGCATCACGAACACGTTACTCGTGTATGGCTGATGACAGAAAACGAGACGTATGTCGTAGCGTATAGTAGATATTAATTAAGGCAAAGAAAAACGTAATACGTAAAAGTCTATTATACAATAGCTTTTATGACTTGCGTTTTTACTCTGCCTTACTTTATGTCCACGGCTACGACGAAGATGTAAACACTTAAGCCGATTCTACAATACGTCGCAAACGATGGCAACTGCTAGTTGAAAAATGTTATTTCTGAATGCTGATTGCCAGTTACTGTCGCCAAAAAAGTTAAAAGTTCGCCAACTTTCTTTTGACAACCGCAATTGACAAGCGCAACGTGGAAATAACACTTTTCAACTAGCAGTTGCCATCATTTGCGACGTATTGTAGAACCGGCTTTAGGGCCAAAGCATAATATAACATGGCGTAGCGATGCACGACTACGACTGTCGTATATAAAAAAATCACACAAAGTATGATTTTCTTGAATGATTAACAAGCTGCTATGCCTGCTCTAATGCATGCATATACGGAGGCACGCTGGCATAATGCATCATTGCATGTAGTTGTAGTACCAATTAAAACATTGAAAATAGTCACGATCGAACAGACGATTGACAACATTTTCAGAAAAAAAATTTCAATTGTGCTAATTTCGTAGTCGACGTCAAACGTCAAATTCAAATTCGAAAATGTGGAATAAAAAACAAATAACAATATTAATATAGGTATATAAAAAAATCTACATTGTATGTTATTAACATTTGTTCATACATTCTTTAATTTCTGTATTTGGGCATACTTTTTGCACTTCATTATTGCTTTCTCATAGAGGAAGCTTAATTTGTTTTCGTAAATTTCGTATATAAACCTTTGATTGCGTTTAAAGTTGGGTCTAATCAATCAAATTTAAAAGAATTATATATGAAATAGGGGTAGAAAAAACCAAAGAAAAGATTGTTTTTTGAGTTTTTGATGCTAATATGTTCAGAGTGTTCTCTGTGTGCGTGCGTGTGTGTGTGTGTGCGCGCGTGTGTGCGTGCGTGCGTGCGTGTGTGTGTGTGTGCGCGCGTGCGTGCGTGCGTGTGTGTGTGTGTGTGTGTGTGTGTGCGTGCGTGTGGTGCGTGCGTGTGTGTGTGTGTGTGTGTGTGTGTGTGTGTGTGTGTG